CAAGAGTGCCCCACGGGGTAGGCGCAGCCATGACTTACGCGTGATCGTTTTTACTGAAACCGTGTTTTCTTGCACCTGCTCCCCCTCCCTATACCGATCATGTTCCGATCACAAGGCAAAATCAAGGCGATAAGGGGTATGCCCAGAGTTGGCGTCGGATAAAATTAGATGGTTCGTCTAAACACACCCTGCGATGAACAGAGTGACGACAATTCCTCCCCTGTAAATTTGGCTTGCTAATTCCCATCTTTCTGCCACAGATTTTTGAAGACGCGTTGCAGCGATTAATGGAATGCGTAGCTCACATTAGCAAAATTTAGAGAACCGGATTGATAATTCTCTTGGCCTTTCCGAACAGTAGTCTTCAGTTGTTAACCAGTATTTTCATACAATTTAATTGCTTTTGTACCTCATACACGATTTTTCTCGTTTCGTAGTAAGGCGCCATCGGTATAAATTTCAAAAATTGCAATCCTTGAGTGTTAAAAGCCATTTTAATGTATAGATCATGAACGTTCCGAGTATCCGTTAACCGCGACAATATTGACTTTAGTAGGTTGACGCTGACATTGCTGTCTGTTTGATCTGGTCAGACTTTAGCAGAATTCATTGTTTCGGTATCGTTGGAGTTTGCAAACTACACGCCTTTCCCATCATCGGGTTTAAACGCCGCACTGCTTTCAGAGTTTATCAGTACGAGTTTGCCTATCCCGAGCACAAGGTCCAGTCCTATCCTAAGGAGGGCACAGTTATAACTTGCTCGTCAAGGACTTTTAGTTGGGAAGGCATCTGCTGTAGAAAGTGGTTACTGACAAAGACAGGTGATACTGAAGTAGCCATTCCTGGCTTAGAGCGGTCGTTAGGCAGTTGTACAAAACTCCAAGTTTGCAACCCCCTGATGCTAGAACCTATGTTCAGTTAGTTAGAAATCCAACGTTCTAACTATGGACCCACGCCTCATCGTCCTGCTATTTGCTAGGCGACTGCCTGCGAGAGCTTCAGATTAAGCCTTAAGGAGGAGAAGTTATCGTAACCTGAACGATGAGCACCTGCCCTCAACTTTAAGTAAATCCTCCGGAGCAAAACATTTCAGGCTCGGTCCGAAAGTTGTTCAGAATAGTTTAACCGAGGTCTACTAGTTACTGCATAATAATCACATCATATTCACAAGCTGTCACTAATACAAAAATACTAACCGATCTGGTGTAGTGATTGCATAGATTTTAATTTCAAGCCCATTGACTATACTGACAACCCAGGTGGCAGTTAAAATCTCACATTTATCATACTGACAGTTATATTTTAACTACTATCTGTGTTGTCAGTGTGAAAAATGGACTTTTAGCTAGTAGATATGTTGCAAACATTGTAAATAATTCAGTATTACTGTACTATTGGTGGCCTGTTGGCAGCTTGTAGACATATATTTTTCTACGGAAGCTGATTCGACTCAAAATTCCGCGTCAAGGCATTATAAACACTGGAGTTTATGAAGCGGAAAGGACAGAAGGAATGCTGGGTACACACTCATGAGCCAAATCCCACACAGCTGCTCCATACAGCGGCACACGTTCGGAAAAAGCTCGCGTGCATGGGCTTTTAGCTAGCAACTGGGCAGTCAATATGGTAAATCGTTTGGTGTAGGAGTAATTATTTTATTTTTTACACAGAAATGCCGTACGCGCAAAAAATTTCTCCCATTTGGAAATGTAGTTAGTTGAAGTACGCAAAACATGTCCATGCAAGGGACTAAATAAATAAAGCGCATTAACATAGTAAAGAACTTAGATTATCTACTTGGAATTAATATAATAGGTAGTATTTAGGAGGTGTGATTAAACTTACGGTGCTAGGCGTGGCATTTGTAGCTCAACTGGTAGAGCATGGGCTTCGCGTAAAGGCCTTCCCTACTATGCGGGTTCAAATCCCACCGAATGCCGCGAGTTTTTTCACAATTGGGTCAACTAGAATAGGTAATATGGCAGTCAGTCAACTGATTTGTGCCTAGGTAAGTTTGCAAAACAGTTCTACGCGGATCCCCTCTGGTATTATCGAAGATGCGAATGCTTGCGAAAAGGAATTCGTTTAATTGCAACAGCAGGGATGTCACCGCGAGCCTGT